TGCTTGTCAGTGAGAGTGTATATGTGTTTGTATGTATGTCTGTCAAAGAGTATGTGTGTTTGTCAGTGAGCGTGTATGTGTGTCTGTCAAAGAGTAGGTGTGTCTGAGTGTGTATCAAGGTTGTGTATGTGTCAATGTGCGTATCTGAATTTGTGTGTGTGTGTGCCAGTGCCAGTGTAAATCAGTGTGTTTGTATGTGCCTATGTGTGTGTATGTCAGTTGTGTGTGTGTATCTGAGTGTGTGTGTATATGACACTGTGTGTACGTGTCAATGTGTGTATCTGAGTACATGTATGTGCCAGTGTTTTTATTTGTGGGTGCAAGTGTGTGTATACCTCACTGTGTGTATCTGAGTGTGTGTATGTGTATCTAAATGTGTGTGTATCTGTGTGCCACTACGTGCCAGTGTGTTTATCTGTGTGTCAGATGCATACACACACAGATACATACTGACACACAGTTACACACACTGGCACATACAAACACAGATACACACACCTTGACACACATCGGCACATACAAACACAGATACACACATCTTGACACACAGATACCTACACACACAGATGCACACTGTGTGTCAAGGTGTGTGTATCTGTATCTGTGTCCAAGTGTGTGTGCATCTGTGTGTCACACAGATACACACACTGGCACATACAAACACAGATACACACACCTTGATACACAGACACACATCAGTAGATACAACCACAGATACATACACACACACACAGATATAAACTGTGTGTCAGTGTGTGTATCTGTGTGCCACTATGTGCCATTGTGTATTTGTGTGTCAGATACATACACACAAACACACACACAGATACACATTACACATTGACACTGTAGCAGAGTAGCAGGGGTTAATCCACGATATCGCCGCTAATAGTCAGAAATCCACAGGTAAAACACAAGTAACATTTTTTAATAATATTCCAGATAGGCCTAATATAATATTTAGGGGGGCCCCAAATTTTAAAACAATTCTAACAAAGAATTATACTAAAACAACTATTTCACATAAAGAAACTTTTATGTCTAAACCAAAAGGTTTTTTTAAATGTAATAAATGTATTGTATGTAAGTCTACAAATCCAGCCACCAACACCAAAACTACTGATTTTTCGTCTACTATTACAAAGGTATCATACCCTATTAAAGATTTTATTGGTTGCAACATGTTATATATTTACTAGAATGTCCCTGTGGACTTCAGTATATAGGCATGACGACAAGATGCCTAAAAATCCGATTAGCCGAACATTGCCGCAACATCAAAAGAGGCTATGACAACCATTCAGTTTCTAAACATTTTTTAATACACAATAAAGACCCAAGATTTTTAAATTGGCTGTTTTTATATTTGTTATAGATATATTTATTCTGTTATTATCAATAAAGGAATATTGGCTCTCTTATTAGCCTTTATATACCTTTTTATTATATTATTTTATTTTTTATTTGATACCTGGTACCTGCGACATTGAAACATGCATCTGTCCAAGAATCCTAGGTGGGGATAATACCACCTACGCCATTATAGTGAGCAGTATATCCTGCTCATATATATGTGAGTATTCTACTGTTTTTACCATTTTTCTTTTCATTAATTCAGTGAGCACTATATTGTCTTTTCATCTCTCTACATACCGAGGAGCTCATCATATCTTCACCACCTATATCCTACCAGTGGACGCTATTACCACTTGAGCAAGTTTATGCTCAGAAATAGGTGAGTGGATCATCTGCTGTGAGAACTTTCTGTCAATTTGTTGATTTACAATCTGCACCATTGGAGTTTCTCTGTTTCTCTTACATGTTCATATATCTACTACCGAACTGAGATACCTCCAGCATAAGAAGACCAAGCCACCTATTGGACTCTTTCTATACTCAAGCATTTTTACAGGTTTTATTAAAGACTTTTTAGGATTATTTTTCCTGTTTATTTATATATTTGTCTCACCCCATTTACTTTTTCGTCTGTTACCATATAGCGCAACCTATATATTTTCTTTTGTTTGTCTATTTATCTGAGGATACGAGAGGGAGCCTCATCACTATAGGTTGCTGCTTTCCCATCTGTTTTTAGCTTCTACTGATTTTTTGCTATAGATGTAACTTCAATGTTATATATACCCTGGAGCAGTGAACAAAAACAGAGGAATAGGTAAATAAACAATGGAGGTAGTGGGAGAGATGAGGATGGGGGTCCTATATGAGAAACCCATGACCATGAAGACCTCAATGAATCTCTCCCTAAGAGTACCTCAGCATTGTGGACAAACCACTAGTGCTTACCTGAACCACTCTCCCTAGCTTAATCAAAATAAAAATAACAAAAAGTCATAGTGCAAAAATAAAAAGTGCTACCAAGTGTAGTGATTAAAAAGAAGATAGCTCAACAAATCGAGCTATCTTCTTTTTAATCAGTACTCTTGGTAGCACTTTTATACTATGGGCTTCCAGTGATATAGAGCACGTTCCTCTCTATAATAATAGTAATAATAATATAGTAATGGTTGTTGCAGACCCTAGGTAACCCGGCTGGTTACCTCCGCTGTTAATAAATTAACAGACCCATTTCCCTCCCAGTAACTGGACGACACACAGTTCCAGAAGTACAACAACAACTTTATTAGCCACATGCGGCTTTATACTTTCCCTATGCAAGGGGTGGATCACACATGAAGACAATGTCCCCTCCTAGGGCCTTCCCTCTCCCAGGGGTCTTCTTCCCTCTCTGTATCTGTCTCTGTATCTGGGCGTCATAGCGCGGGAAATTTCCCACCTCTTTACCTTCCAGTGACAGAGAGCCCACTAACCTCCGCCATTGTCCCCACAGGATGTCCCCACCAATCTCAGGGACCCTCACAACAGTAACCGCCACAAACAGTCTTCGTTCGCTGGGTCCCTGTGTGAAGGGAAGCGTCTCTTTCGTGATGTGAATGCTCCCCCTTGGCATCGTTCATCAGTACCAATGGCAGCCACCCAGAGCAGCACTCATTAATTACTTCCCTTGCGGTTTCACACTATGTTGCGAGTTGCCAATGTTCTAATTGATTGGTGTGAACATTTTAATGGGTGCCGGGGAGGTCCTTGTTTGGGAACCGAACGAGGTGGGAAGCACTCCGCGAATGCTCCCCCTGGATAGCATTCGTCTAATGAACGGGCCGCTACCCAGGGTCGGCACGCGCCGATGCTTCCCTTGTGGTTTGTGGTTTTGACACCTTATTACGAGATGCAAACGTTCTAAAACCACATTCTAAATGGGATTTTGTGGTGGTCCCCATTCGGGAGGTGAATGGAGTCCCGTTCGTGGTGGTACTCTCGAACGGGCGCAGGCAATTCTACAGTTTTACAAAACACAAGTAACGAAACAAAGGGTCAAGCTAGGGGAAACACACAAAAGTGATGTCAGCACAGTAACACACATTGCAGGGCAAGTCACAGTTTAGCGGGGGTTCCGCTACAATGGTATATTATGGGCTCCCAGTGATATAGAGCACATTCCTCTGTATAATAATAATAAAATAAAAATATAGTAATGGTATACTGTGGGCTCCCAGTGATATAGAGCATGTTCCTTTATATAATAATAATAATAATAATAATAATAATAATAATATAGTATTGGTATACTATGGGCTCCCAGTGATATAGAGCACATTCCTCTATATAATAATAATAATAATAATAATATAGTATTGGTATACTATGGGCTCCCAGACGATAAACAGCATGTTCCTCTATATAATAATAATTATAATAATATAGTAATGGTATACTATGGGCCCCCACTGATATAGAGCACGTTCCTCTATATAATAATAATAATAATAATAATAATAATAATAATAATATAGTATTGGTATACTATGGGCTCCCAGACGATATACAGCATGTTCCTCTATATAATAATAATAATAATAATATAGTATTGGTATACTATGGGCTCCCGGTGATATAGAGCATGTTCCTCTATATAATAATAATAATAATATAGTATTGGTATACTATGGGCTCTCAGTGATATAGAGCATGTTCCTCTATATAATAATAATAATAATAATAATAATATAGTAATGGTATACTATGGGCTCTCAGTGATATAGAGCATGTTCCTCTATATAATAATAATAATAATAATAATAATAATAATAATAATATAGTATTGGTATACTATGGGCTCTCAGTGATATAGAGCATGTTCCTCTATATAATAATAATAATAATAATAATAATAATAATAATAATATAGTAATGGTATACTATGGGCTCTCAGTGATATAGAGCATGTTCCTCTATATAATAATAATAATAATAATAATAATATAGTATTGGTATACTATGGGCTCTCAGTGATATAGAGCATGTTCCTCTATAATAATAATAATAATAATAATAATAATAATAATAATATAGTAATGGTATACTATGGGCTCTCAGTGATATAGAGCATGTTCCTCTATATAATAATAATAATAATAAATAATAATAATATAGTATTGGTATACTATGGGCTCTCAGTGATATAGAGCATGTTCCTCTATATAATAATAATAATAATAATAATAATAATAATAATAATAATAATAATATAGTAATGGTATACTATGGGCTTCCAGTGATATAGAGCATGTTCCTCTATATAATAATAATAATAATAATAATATAGTATTGGTATACTATGGGCTCTCAGTGATATAGAGCATGTTCCTCTATATAATAATAATAATAATAATAATAATAATAATAATAATAATAATAATATAGTAATGGTATACTATGGGCTTCCAGTGATATAGAGCATGTTCCTCTAATAATAATAATAATAATAATAATAATATAGTAATGGTATACTATGGTCTTCCAGTGATATAGCGGTTTGTGTAATTTGAATGGAGTGACAAACCCCTTCCCGGCAATGATTGAGTTAATAAGGCTGCACCCCCCCACTTCCTCCCCCCTCCCCCCAGCCACCCCTCCTTTCTCCTCCTGAGTCTGATTCAATCCCTTCTTCCCACACATCCTTCTGTCTCTCACACTAAGGGAATCCTCAGCACTCCCCACCCAGGCACTGCTGCCTCCAAATAGCAGGTATGTAGCCATGTCAATCCATAACCCCCCTGCCCCCCTGCAGGATCCTGGATGGGACTTTTATAGAGAAATATTAACATATAAAGCCCCCTGCATTGTGTTCTGCCCCGGACTCTGAGCTTGAGACATTGTATCAGCTGGTAGGAACGGTATGTTTCATTGCAACTTAGCAGCGAGTCTGTAGCGCGATAAGTACAGTGTTTCTGTCTGTCTGATGAACTATATACTGTCTGTCTGATGAACTATATACTCTGTCTGATATTCCATATAGTGTGTGTGTGTCTGATATTCCATATAGTGTGTGTGTGTCTGTCTGATACTCAGTATACTGTGTGTCTCTCTGTCTGATATTCCACATAGTGTGTGTGTGTGTCTGTCTGATACTCAGTATACTGTGTGTGTGTGTGATATTCCATATAGTGTGTGTGTGTCTGTCTGATACTCAGTATACTGTGTGTCTCTCTGTCTGATATTCCACATAGTGTGTGTGTGTGTGTCTGTCTGATACTCAGTAAACTGTATGTGTGTCTGTCTGATACTCAGTATACTGTGTGTGTGTCTGATATTCCGTATAGTGTGTGTGTGTCTGTCTGATACTCAGTATACTGTGTGTGTGTGTGTCTGATATTCCATATAGTGTGTGTGTCTGTCTGATACTCAGTATACTGTGTGTTTGTGTGTGTGTGTGTTTGTCTGATATTCCATGTAGTGTGTGTGTCTGTCTGATACTCAGTATACTGTGTGTGTGTCTGATATTCCATATAGTGTGTGTGTCTGATTCTCTATATACAGTGTGTGTGTGGGTGTCTGATACCCTATATACTGTGTTTGTGTGGGTTTCTGATACTCTATATACTGTGTGTGTGTCTGTCTGATATTCCATATACAGTGTGTGTGTGTCTGATACCCTATATACTGTGTGTGTGTGATACTCTATATACTGTATCTGTCTGTGTGATACTCTATATACTGTATGTCTATCTGATACAATATATATACTGTGTATATGACTAAATCACTCTATATATAGTATATGTATCTCACGCACTCTATATACAGTATGTGTGTCTATCTGGTGCACTCCATATACATTGTTTGTAATCATGCCTCCTGCCTGTAACGTGTACCAGTTCAGTGTACACACTGTGTCTGTTTACTATGCGTGAACACAGAGCTTTAATATGGGATCAGATGTACATAATATATATTTTAGAGAGACCAGTAGGGTATGTTCCTTTGTCGCCTTAAACATTGTTTGTATGTGTGTGTGCATTTATTTATATGGATCCAACTCGTAATTATTTAAACCTTTCATTAGATCGTGACTTCCTCTCTGATCTATATAGTCATTTATAATATACAGCGCAGTCTATAGAGCATTCAGTGTGTAGCTGTGTGTACAGTATATGATATTGTCTATATAAGTCTTTGGTCGGTCTGTATAACTGTCTCTGTTTATACAGCTGTTCAATGTGTCCCTTTGTCTTTGCCCATTGTCTGTCTCTGCAGGCCTGATTTCCATAGTCTTAGTGGCCCTGGCTATCTCACTGTCTGTGTCACTGAGTAAATCTCCACCTTGACTTCTTCTTAAAAAGCTCTTATCTTCCTTCTGTAGTGTAAATGCTGTCTCTCTGACCCCGTCTGTGCTTTTTTCACCATCGTTTCCTTTTGTTCCTATTTGTGTATGGGGATTTCCAGTTTAAATCATAATCCTCTCTCTGCAGTCTATATCATTACTTCCCAATCTGTCACCCCATGTATGTCTGTCTGTCTGTCTTTATTAATTCAGTATCTATTTGGCAGTCTACAACAGTGATATTGTATTCTGCAACTGCCCTCCAATAGGAACCGTGCTTTACTAATACTTTCCTGTATTTATATTTTTGTTGATATACAAATCAAACTCTTCGGTCCATAATCCTTCCAGTAAATGACATTTGATTTACGTATTCACTTTGTGTACCACTAACCAGTTTTTTGCCCCTAGGCTACTAACTACTAGCTTGATTCTGGCCCTCGATGGCTAGCTTTGGACAGCCCTGATATATTACATGCATGTGGCTTTCATCTAAAAATTATTCATTATACCAGCTGTGATCCCGGCAGTAAATAATTGTGACATAATGTGATATATGTTAAGACCTTTCTTTCTATATATAGTAATATTGTGTATCTAGGCTCTATAATAGGATCATTTAATTCATGATATACACAGCCCTACCCCCCACCCCCACCTTTTTTTCCTTCACCCACTGTTTCTTCATTTTTATGTCTACCCATGTCCGGTTCCCCTTTTTTTCTCACCTCTTTCTCTTTTTCTCTTCCTCTAAGTTTAGTTCTAAAATTTCTCGTCTGTATATTATTTTTGCTTCTGTTTACATGATGAAACTCTACTAATGCAAGCAAAGTCAGCCTTCTTCTTTTCTGTTTTCGAATTCACTCCATCCATCTCCTATCCTTCACAATCAACTCATAAAAGTAATCTTTCCCACTATGTCTTATTTACCAGTAACTCCCTTTTTTTTCTATCCCGTAACATTTTGGCTTCCATTAATATTAGTATCATTCTTTGCCTTCCTCTTTAAACCTTCGTAAACAAACCACTATATTTTCTTTCTTTTTCTGGTCTTTCCCTTTTGTCTCTCTGTTCTTCATCTTTTCCAACCAGTAATGTCGTCTTTGTTTCCTTTCTCCACAAGGTTTCTCAATGAGAAGTCAATAGATCGCAAAAAGACGACCTTCAACATGCCTCCAGAGAGCAAAATGACCTCGTAAAGCAAGGAGATAGCTTCAGACAGAGTAAATACCAAGTGCTCATTATCAAACTGCAGCTATCTAAAGATGATGGAGGTTCCAGACTGGAAGTTTCATCTTCTGGAGAGGAGACGGAAGGAAGAAGAAGAGATGAAACGAAAGGAGAGAGAGGAAGAAGATCGCCTTGCCAATATGCCTCCATGGAAAAGAGAAATCATCCTTCGAAGGAAAGCCAAGGCTGAAGCATCTATGTTGGAGACTAGAGCTGAGGTTGAGGGAGAACAAGAAGAGAGAGAAAAAGTGAGTAGCGTAGATCAAGACGAAAGAGAGGCTCGAGTATTAAGGGAAAACATTGGACCAGTTCAACAGAACCCATTTATTCAGCTGGAAAAGCAGAGGAGGGTCCCAGAACTTTCCTGTAGTAAACCAAAGCCAACCCCAGATCTGCCTATTGTACGCACTTTGCGAATGGATGATGTTGTCAAGGATTTGCATCCATCAAATGAAGAAGAGGAACTGGAGGCTCTCACTGATGACCAGCCACCTCTCCTAGATGAGAGAAAAGGAAGGGTCAGCAGACTATTGAGTCGTTTTGGACGTTCATGGGTTGAGGCAGAGAATGGGGGCACAGTTGTTCCACGTATCAATGGGGAGGGAGAGGTGACAGTTAAGCCACCGTGCCCTGCAGTGATGTCGGTGGAACTTGATATCCAGGCCTCAACATCTCATTCTCAGCTTGCTCCGCCTTCTCCTTCCTGTCCTCGGACTGTCACGGGAAGCCAGACTTTAACTCAGGAAACCACTGTCTCCTCCCTCACCCCCCCATCCTCTTCCTGCACTGATTCTGAGCCAGCTGTGCACTTGCCCTGTATGGCATCACCAACAGCCATGAGTGGGCTTGCTACACGGCCTAGCACGGCTGAGGATGCCAGAACCTTTCCATTTCAACTACGTTCAGCTTCTTCTAGTGCACCAAGACCACTAAAACAGACAGTTCAAGCTTCCCCTCCAACACCCAAACATGTCACAGGGCGAGTGGAGGCAGATGGAGAAGGGGGTCCTTCCATATCCAGGGTTACAGGCCTTTCACCAGCCAGTAAAATAGTCATAGGTGGAGAAAACCAGGCCATGCAGCGGAGGAAAGGCAATACAATTACAGTAAACCCACGTAAGGCACCTGTTTGTGAGAATGGTTACGTTGCCACTGAGACTAAGACTCCTAGCCCCAAGACTGATGCTGGCAAGAAGAGATACCCAACAGTTGATGAAATTAAAGTGATAGGAGGCTACCAGGCATTGTCAAAGTCCTGTCTGGCAAAGCACAGTCAGGATAAGAAGAAGGTAAGGCTGAAATCTTTCCTTTTTAAATAGATATTGATATAGATATCTGTAGATATATGCAAAGATTTTAAATATGCAGATTGATTGTCCATTATTCGGCTGACTAGCCACCCATCAGCTGGTCTATATCTAATGCTGCTGGGAATAAAAAAAAAGCTGAGATTAATAATTCTCCTGTGTGGCTTCATTGGACACAACATTTTCAGAATTCTATCCAGAATTTAATGAGTTAACCTCTTTGAATTTCTGTATCCAGAGTGTAATCATGAGCTGGCTGAGCAGAAAGGGAGTGGTAGTCCTAAGCCCTGCCCTTGTTTAAAGCTCCGGGGCACACTTAGTATGTAGGTATTCTGAATGCCAGGGATTTCAAGCAGAAACTAATTACACAATCCTGTTTAAAATTCATCATTTCCTCTCCAGCCCTTTCAATGACGGCTTCTCAGTGGATATTATGCTTTACCTCCCCACCCCCCATATACATATCAGTGATCCAGCAATGGAGTTATTTTCTGCAGGAATGTGAGTTCTGATAACAAACACACAGCAAGTTTAGACATGTGCACTTGTGTCCTGCTCAAAACAGAAGCTGATGCTGGAGTCAGGTCTCCATCACAGGGAAAATTAACTCAAACTTATCTACCACCTTCAAAATGATATTTAGGCTAGTGGAGGCCAAAAAAAGGTCCTCCGGCCAACTGGACGTCAACCTATCGTTCCTGTAAGTTTTCTTGTAATTGTCCTATTTATAGTTAAATCCCCCTCTCATAATATTGTAAAGCGCTACGGAATCTGTTGGCGCTATATAATTGTCAATAATAATAATAATAACTATTACTACTCCCATGATGCTTTGCTGTCCTTTAACCCATTAACCCCTTAAGGACCAAACTTCTGGAATAAAAGGGAATCATGACATGTCACAAATGTCATGTGTCCTTAAGGGGTTAAGGTATTCATTTCCAGTGATGGGCCTAGTTTGCAGCTAAGTGCAGCATTATTTGACCAATTATATGTTAACCAGAATAATCCTTAAACCTGCCCGAGCTCAGTGTTTTTGCTTTTTGAGTTAAAATACAGGAAGTTACACGAGGTTCTCAGGAAACTTGATTTCTACATGACTGTATATGGAGAGCCTTACACTGCAGAAGGAAACCACAGGACAGTGATATAACTAGTGCGATCGTATGATAGCCACACTGTGACGCACCAAAGGCCGCCTTTAAAAGCTGCGGTGTGGTAATGAAAAAAAAAAACATACGCTTTTATATTTACTAATGTGAGAATTCAAAAGGAGTTTGAAATTATAGGCCAACTGAACACATGGATATCTTAGAGATTTTACTGCAGTTCGGCTAATGTGAATTTGAATATTAAATTCACTTGGAATTCTCGTTTTAGTAATTAACCCTGATAGTGAGAAATAAACTTTAAATTCTACAATGTCCAAATTTAAATGACAAAACTGACTCCAAAATGGCTGATTTGAAAAAGAAAATAGCCAAATCACACAGGTAGGCTATTTTACTCTAGATTTTGCCACTCAGGTTTCATTTTGATACAATTGGAGTTTGGGGAATAAACCGCAGGTGCCAAATATGAACCCGCTGGCCCTTATAGAAAGCCCAATTCCCATGCAGCATTCATCGTTAGATACAATCTCTAATTTGTACAGATTGGCACAGACAGCATTGGTTTTGATGATATTAACCCGGAGCCCTACCACCTCTGCTGGGCGGCCATTTCAGTCATACACCGTACTTTCTGTGAAAAGCATTGTATAAGGTTCACTTTAATCCTACTTCTTACCATGTAATCTCCACTCCAGAGCCTGACACATTGTTCTAGACATTCCATCTGTGTGAAATGTGATTTAAATCTCCACATACATCAAGCTTCTTGTATTATGTCACATTATCCATTCTCTGTTCCCAGCTCAAGCAGGTATCTGGCCTGTATATCTGCATTTTATCATATAACCCATTCTTTCCCTGCTCTGAGCTACACACCTTACAGTCACTCCACTTCCCCTATTTATCCACTAAACTCAGACTTGTAGTGAAATCAGATCTATACGGGGTAATTCGCTCTAAATTAGACAAGCTGTGACTGCAGGTGAGATGGAGAATTTTTTTTCAGCACATCTTTATTCAGTACAAATTGGTGTTTCAATAAATCCATCCGTTTGAGACTTCAGAAATGAAGAGTTAAATCATATTGTAAAAGTCAAAAATAAAACTGACGAAATCTAAAAATCTAGCTAAAATGTGGTAAAAAAAAATGAAAACAGTTAAAAACAAAATGACAAGGCCCTTTCCCTATATATAATCTAATCCCAGTCCAAGTACTATTTACACCATTTTACAGATATTTTGATGTCTAATTTCTGGGGGCGGGTTATGATAAGGTATCCAGATTCCTATGTGGTGCTGTAGGTGAGACTTTACATGAAAACGTTATTAGATGCAAATCTAAGAGTCCTCTTCACTTCCTTCACTTTTAATTTATTTAAATATCTCCTCGTCTCCCCCCTCACTGTCAGGGTTCGGCAGTGGTAAAGCATGGGAGCTGGGAGTTGAGTGCCTCCTCCACTCGCAGGTGTCGTCATGTGGCCAGTGTGATGTCATAACCCTGGATGACACTTCATTCTAGCTAGGAATAAGGTGTGGAGAGATCTTGATGCGCTGCTTCTCCCCTGCTCCTGTGTTTCACCACCATCACTCTGTCACCGTTTACACGTGGAGGACGTCCTGCTACACCTGTTAGACCAGTGAAGATCGAGCTGTTAAAGGGAACCTAAGGTCCCCAAAAGAACAATTGTTATATATCTGTCCACACCCTTTGAGTTTAAAAGTGTAAGTTTAGTAAGCGTTACTAACCTCGTTTCTAGAACCAGGCCTCCTTTTTCTGCATGCTCCTGCTTCCTACGAACACATCTTCTTGATATCCTCCAATCCTTCTCAGTGATTGGAGCTACTCACGCACGGCCAAATCAGCATTTAATTTGTAGATCGGGTTTTACACTGTCTGGGGGAGGAAGTGCCTTTAGTGGATGTCAGTATGACACCAGAGGTGTATTTAATCCTCCAATATAAACATTGGCATTTCTACAAAACTGCAATCGTTTACATTGCAGGCCTAAAACTAAAGGACCATTTCATTAAGATAAAGTAGTCTTGGTGACTATTGTGTCCCTTTAAACTGCCGTTTGTGTGGGACCTCCTGGGAGAGGCGCAATGTACCGAGGGATGCCATTCCAGAGGCATCAGTCCAGGCTACCCACTGCAGGCCTTTACATTTCAAGAACTACACTGCTAGTCAAGGATACGCCAGGCCTTCCTCACCGCTGCAAGCCTGGAGGGTTCAGGACACATTTACCAGGGGTGAAGCTTCACTCACCAAAAACTAGTGACGAGTGGAAAATTTGAGCCCTTTATATTGTATATAGCATAAAGAAATATTGCATTTCCTTCAGCCTGTGAGGTTTTTGACACAGCGAATGAAAAGCTATTTCCAACGTTGACCTTTATGTCACACATTTATTGGATAGAGGCACGCACTAGTTAGGTTACCTTGTATAGGGCAGAGAAGCATTCAAGCCGGTAAAACTCTCCATTTATATCCCAAGGGCACTGGGCTGAACATCCGATGGGGGGTGGGGTGTACAGGAGTACTGCCATCCTAATTTACATCCTCTCCAAATATACTAAGGGCATTAGCCTAAATTCTGCAGTTCCATTAATAAACAACTAAATGTTTTCACACCCAGAGGGTAGACCAAGGGGCCACTGAGCACCCTACCTACAATAGAAGCACAGTGCCAACCAGTTGCCTTTTTATCTGTAATGTTAATTAAAATATCAAAAAACATGTTAAGAAACACATCTCCATCCCAACCTCAGTGATCGCAGTGCTACCAAAACCAGGTGTGCCCTTAGAATGGATTAGGGTCACATTGGCAGAATGTTTAATGAGTAGTTAGATCACTAAATATACCTTCATACCTATAATTCCCAGTAAATGCGTTCTGCTCCCTCCCCTCCTCCCCGTTCTGTGCCGTCATTGCTCACTGAAGTCTGGCTTTTAGTCTCTTAAAATTAATCGTAAAAGGTCACTCCGGATCAAAATGAAACGTCTGTAAAGTGGAACATGTCCCATTTCTGGAACAAGACTGCCTGGACCTCCTGACCACACTGGAAGCTGGCCATTTAAACGTTCGACCCATCATATCCTTCCTGAAGTCGCTCAGCTTCGATAAAATATGATCCCGAAATGGAATCTATTGGGGCTTAGTTTAGAAGGACTCTGGAAAATTTGGAGATGGCCAGAGAATAGTGAATTAGCAAATCACGTCATCTCTAGAATAGTTCTGAATTTTAGCCCTTCTCTTGTGAACATAGCACAACACTTTAAAAAAAGACCTATTACATTTTTTTTATATCTTCCCTTTCTACCAATGTTGACAATAGCTGCTTTGGAAAAACATGTAAACTTCACAATTTTGGAAGTTCCTTATTTGTGAATAAATGTCAATGTGTTTCGATCCCTCCTTTAAAAAAAAAGACTGAGAGAATCTGCTGTGTTCTCGGTTTAACAGTGAGTTATAACTGTGTAGCAGAAATCTCAACGGCAGTTGTTATCATTGTTATTAGTAGTATTTATATAGCGCCAACTAATTCTGCAGCACTTTACAATATTATGAAAGGGGGGAATTTACAATAAATGAGACAATTACACAGTGACACATGAACGATAGGTAGATGAGGGCCCTGCTCAAACGAGTTTACAATCTCTAGAGGAGGTGGGGTACAAATACACAACAGTGCAGCAAGGATGACACCCACCAAACAAGGTGGAAAAGTAGCATAACTGGAGGTGAGAGTGGAGTGTGGCTCTTTAAGAGAGCAAGAGACAGATATGGATAGGTATACAAGTTACTCTGGGAGTCTGTAGGCATTTCTGAACAGATGTTTTTTTTGGGAGGGGGCAGTTTGTCATAGTTAAACATTAATCGGATACGTTTTAGACTGCAAACAATGTTTTAGAAAAAAACAGACCACAGCTAACTGTAAGTAATCTACAGAGTTATTACATTAACATTTATTTATATAATGCCAACATCCATCTCCGTTACATTGTACAATAGCTAAAACAAAGTAAATAATTCTAACAAAATACGCCTGAGATACGGGAACAGTAGGCAAAAGGGCCCTGCCCAAAATAGCTACAAATTGCACAAAATTATCATAAATTACACTTCCTCTTTAATAAACGTTCCGATTTAGGATAAGCATACCCTTGTTTACCCTATTATTTTATAGGCAGGAAGTGATTTTATCTTTGCTAAATGATTTATCAATAATCAATAAGTGACCACTAAAGGGTGGATCAATGTGGCTCTGCATTTAGAGCTGTAAAACGCCCAAAGGCGTGGACTGGACAGAGCACAATACAAGGCAGGCTTGGAATTAGCCAGATACACCAGATTAAGATTTAAAAGCAGCATGCAGCCGCAGGACGAGAAGGGGGTGAGGGGAATCTTTTTTATTTCAGAAGGAAATGGAAGCTGTGAGTAACATTATAAGATGGGAGGGACAAGGAGCCAGCTAGTGAGGAGGTGAGGTCAGAGACAGACACACACACTGCAGGCTGCGAGAGATGGTCGATTGGAAGGGATACTGGGTGGAAGAGGCTGGGGATAGAAAAAAATGCAAAGGAAAAGAGATGGATTGGGCTGAAAAAAATGACTTGCAGGGAAAACCTTTTTAAAGGGACACTCCACTGCCCAAACACAAAATAACTACAAATCACTGTTTGCACTGCATGCATTTAATTAAAAAAATTTCATTGTATTTATACCGAAAAATCTTTTGCAAAACCTGCATTTTTCTCATCTGCTGCTTTTGCATGCCCTCCCCATCTTCCTTCACCCAGACGTTCTGTGACTGTCCAATCACAGACTTCCCAATGCAGCTCAATGAGAAGTCGTTGCAAGGTATTCTAGTCAATTGCTGCCTCCTGAGTTTAGCCCGCTCCACTGAGCTAACCAAACCAGGAAGTAACAGGACCAGTTGTCTGATTGACAGCCAAGGGGGTGTTATCAGGTTCATTTATAAAAGTGACATTTTCTATTGAAAATGAAAAAATAATACTCTTCATACATACAGCTTTTTAGCAAGCTAAAGTGCTTTAGGGGTCTGGAGTGACCCTTTAAGGGTCATTGTCATTTCTCTGAAGATCACCTATAATTTGTGTTAAACGTTTTGTTTTTTTCATGCAATATTCTATTTTCTTTTAAAGGGTTACTCCAAGCATTATAAACACAAGAACTCGCTGTAATGGTTATGATGTCAGAAATACCCTGGCTTGGTTACCCCATAAAGGGGCAAACTGTTTTGGAATGGTTTGCCCTCTTACCGGAGTCCCAGATGGCGACATGTGCGGAATCCGGTTGCCATTAATTGTCTGAGAGCATCAACCAACTGCCATCAGCCAATGAATGGCGCACAGCGCAAAATAATTTGCACAGAAGTGACATCACGGAATTCTTGTTCCAAGCTGGCTAATGACGCCCCTATGACGTGAGAGTTCTTCTCACTGACAGCATGACAATGTGCTTACAGTAAAGACCAAAGTAATAAGAAATAATAATATGAAATATTCTAACCAGGCAGGGATTTAATAGTTGCCAGATTCTGGGTATATTTTATTTTATTATCCAAATTAATATCACCCATTTCATTGACCATGGATGGATGCAAGTCCAAGCTGACACAGGAAGGTTAAACGAAAGGACTACCATAACCACTCGTGCACCTTCCATAGATTATGGTACAAGGGATTCTAGGTTTTAGTCTCACCTCTTCCATTCTATAGCTCTAGTAAATCTTAGTATAACTTTATACCCTTTTGCCACCACTGTGTGATGTAACCAGGAAAGCTCTAGCCATGACCCAAATATTTTGTATAGCGTGCGCATGTGTCCTGACTGACATGTGTCATCCGTCCAGGAGATTTGTTGGGCTGGCTGCACATATGCAAGTAGCTTCATTCATGAAAATGCATGAGAAACTTCAAGGTAGACCAGTGATGGCTAACCTTGACACTATAAATTGTTTCTGCACTACATTGCCCATGATGCTCAGCTAGCTTTTAGACTCTAAAAGCTAGCTGAGCATCATGGGCACTGTAGTACGGAAACAATTTATGGTGTCAAGGTTAGCCATCACTGAGGTAGACTAACAGGAGCCATGCCGCCACAGAGCTTAGTTGTGTTTACAGATATATTAAATGGCACCTTTTGGTGGATACAAAGCGTCCATTTAAAGAGATGTCAAGGGATGGGTAGGCCTTCTCTTGTACACTATGTGTCATCAACGAAATATTGCTGACTAAACAACATTTACTTTCAGGAAGTCAGATGAAGATCTGCATTGCTTATAAAAGAGATTTATAAAGAAAACAGCATTCAAAAGTGATAATACAAGAATTTCACGATATGTGAGCAATGTCCATTTCATTTTGAGGCAGGGGTAGTGGCTTCCCTTTAATTATTCATATTGAAGAAAAATAGCACATATATTTCTTGTTATATGTTTTAAATCTCAGCCTTTGATCAGCAATGTTTGATAGATCTCTGTATGATCAGTTCAGTGATGGAGGAGGGAGAACTTTGAGAAGTTTTAGAGTATTACAAATGTGCTCAGAACAGGGCAGGGTGAGCTAAGAACTTGGGTGGAGAGGGGAACATTTTTAATATAACTACTTCTTTAAAATTGGCAGAAGTAACTGTGAAACAGCTTAAGGCAGACGGAAGAGAGTATCTGGGGCACATGGGGGACTCCAGAGTGACGACTGTAAAGAGACATCCCCCCTTTTGTGCAGACAGTCAAGTAAAGAGTTAAGGAACAGGAGGGGCTGGTTTGGAGACAAGGCTGAAAGAGGGACACATCTGGGGTCATGGGGGAGGGAGACAGCTGGTCAAGATACAGGAGGGGAGGGGGGGAATCAGCACTACCCCATGGCAGAGACAGCCATTACTAATGAGAGTAAAATACAATAAGAGGAACCGAGACAGTAACAAACAGATTAATAATTATTGACATTTTTGAGGAACTGCTGAGGCACTAATTATTCTTCTCTATCCTAATTTTAGATGTTTCATATTTGTAACATCTTGTCCTTATTTGGATTTATTTATTTTTACTCTACTCCTCTATGATTTGTACTCAACACCAGCTATATTAATCACTGCGCCTGGCATCTCCTTTTTCCCTCATTGTTTGCTCCTGTGGGCTTCTCTCTCTCTCTCTCCAGAACAACCATTGTCCTCACTGCCTCCATCTTTCCAGCTCCTGCTATCAATATAACATAACTCTAGCTGCCTTTAAAAAGACCACACCATCATTTCAACTGCATTTCTCTAAACCAACCCCACCATTCACACTGCATCCCTCCATGCCACCCCACCATTCACACTGCATCCCTCAATGCCACCCCACCATTCACACTGCATCCCTCCATGCCACCCCACCATACACACTGCATCCCTCTAGGCCACCCCACCATTCACACTGCATCCCTCCATGCCACCCCACCATACACACTGTATCTCTCCATGCCACCCCACCATTCACACTGCATCCCTCCATGCCACCCCGCCATACACACTGCATCTCTCCAAGTCACCCCACCATTCACACTGCATCCCTCCAGGCCACCCCACCATTCACACCGCATCTCTCCATGCCACCCCACCATTCACACTGTATCTCTCCATGCCACCCCACCATTCACACTGCATCCCTCCATGCCACCCCACCATTCACACTGCATCCCTCCAGGCCACCCCACCATTCACACTGCATCCCTCCATGCCACCTCACCATACACACTGCATCCCTCTAGGACACCCCACCATTCACACTGCATCCCTCCATTCACACTGCATCCCTCCAGGCCACCCCACCATTCACACTGCATCCCTCCATGCCACCCCACCATACACACTGCATCCCTCTAGGCCACCCCACCATTCACACTGCATCCCTCCATGCCACCCGCCATACACACTGCATCTCTCCATGTCACCCCACCATTCACACTGCATCTCTCCATGCCACCCCACCATTCACACTGCATCCCTCCATGCCACCCCACCATTCACACTGCAATCTCCAGGCCACCCCACCATTCACACTGAATCCCTCCATTCCACCCCATCATACACACTGCATCCATCCATGCCACCCCACCATTCACACTGCATCCCTCCAGGCCACCCCACCATTCACACTGCATCTTCACATGCCACCCCACCATTCACACTGCATCTCTCCATGCCACCCTACCATTCACACTGCATCTCTCCATGCCATCCCACCATTCACACTGCATCTCTCCATGCCACCCTACCATTCACACTGCATCTCTCCATGCCACCCTACCATTCACACTGCATCTCTCCATGCCACCCCACCATTCACACTGCATCTCTCCATGCCACCCCATCATTCACACCGCATCTCTCCATGCCAACCCACCATTCACACTGCATCTCCCCATGCCACCCACCATTCACACTGCATCTCTCCATGCCACCCCACCATTCACACTGCATCTCTCCATGCCACACCTACTACCATTCACACTGCATCTCTCCATGCCACCCCACCATTCACACTGCATCTCTCCATGCCACCCCACCATTCACACTGTATCTCTCCATGCCACCCCACCATTCACATTGCATCTCTCCATGCCACCCCACCACTCACACTGCATCTCTCCATGCCACCCCACCATTCACACTGCATCTCTCCATGCCACCCCACCATTCACACTGCATCTCTCCATGCCACCCCACCATTCACACTGCATCTCTCCAAGCCACACCACCATTCACACTGCATCTCTCCATGCCACCCCACCATTCACACTGCATCTCTCCATGCCACCTCACCATTCACACTGCATCTGTCCAGATCACCCCCATTATTCTTGCTATATGTCCAGATCACCCCACCATTCACTGTATCTCCTCATGCTACCCCACCATTGTGCCTTGAGTCTCCTGCCCCACATTGCTAATTTTGTTCCCTCCCCATTGTCATCCTTTCCATCATTCCATCTACCCCCTGATCTTGCACTGCGCTCTTCCTGCACAGATCATCTGCCTGCAGCTCCCAACTCCTCTTTCCATGTATATCCCTTAATGCAAAATCCTGTTAAAGCCCATTCAATTAAGATTAAAAGTGATTACCCTTGTTAACCCTTTCACGGTCAGAATTGGTAAATCTTTAAATCTTTGATCACTTTTCACACAAACACGTGCCATTCAGTACAACCCATCACTGATACAACCTTGTGATCTCGCTCATCCAGCAAATCGCAGAGATTGCCACTCCTACTACCACTATTACCCCAGGACGGAGTTTGCGGCCAATGAATGTACTATGTAGCTAGGTATACAGACAGGCAGACATCAACTCTCATAGCTTTAGAAGACGCTTGACCTCCACGTGTCAGAACTGACAGAACTGAGCTGCCAAGATTACCATCTGCACATCTATTGTAAATCAGTTTTACTGTAATAACTGCCTCCCATGAGGCCTGTCAAGATTAGATATCAGCTATCGCTTATTTAAATCATTTTCTAATGGTTCTAACTACATTCCAAACTCAGCCAGTTCCTTCACAATTCGCTTAAAGTGAAAATATTCAGGGGGTCCCAGTCCACACAACAATGAAACAAATTAATCATAAACTAAAGGGGGCTATACAAATCTCCAGAAGTATGTTAGTTAAATAATAATAATAAATACACAGAAAATTCTGTCACGTGCTAATACCCCCCCACCCCACAAGAGTTAGAAATTATTAAAGGACTGCAACTTTTGTTTTAAATATTATAAAACACAGATTATTTTACACAGTCACAGAAATAATGATTGGTGAATTATAATATATTACCTAATTAGATTCATGGTAAGATTGAAAAAAAACAAAACAAATATTAGATTTAAGTAACTATTGCATCTGTCAGCTTTATCAATATTATTTTATCACCATTATCAAAGCACCAACATTGGGAGGGATACATTGTTGCAAATAATTAACAGACAAAATAAAGAGAGAGAGAATATGTAACTACAATTGAATATTGTAAATATATGTCTGTTCATTAGTTGCAACAATGTATCCAAATGTTTGAATGTAAAGAAATGTGGTAAATTGTAATGCTTTGCAAATGATGATAAAATAATAATAAGAACTATAATGGTTAGGAATGATATGTTGGCGCCCTCTAATGGCAGACATTAATCAAGCAATCAAATGTGCAATGGGAGCTGCAATATAGCTGTTTTAGTTCCTGTCTCACTATGATCAGAAAAAGAAGGAACTCCCAAAAGCTCTTTACTACAAATGTCTGGTGGTCCAATAAAAAAAGGTGCAGGTCCAGTATTTTGTAATCACATCAATGTAGTTTATGCATGAAAAGAGGAAAAAGAACATTTCAAAAATGAATGTGTAACCTTGTGGTTCTGGTACCTATGAGAAGCCTTCATCACCACATGCACTCAGGAAGGGCTGGGGTCGGCGGCTCCTGAGATAGCTTCTGTTTAAACCATAATTGGCCATGCACAACGTGTGTTCTACGGTAACATTCTACAATAGAATCTTCAGTTACTGTAAGGGTAAACAAAACGGACAAAGGGAGAATATTACATTGAAAAAGAATAAAGTAATGGAACAACAGGGCAAGACTTAGGCTGATGAGACAATAGACTACTTAGAGAAAGGGTAGAAGATATTAGTAATAGCCATCCTGTGCACGCAGTGATTGATGTCTAACACGTGAAATGGGTGCATTCTTGGGATGTGTCTATCATAAATAAACAATAAGCAAAATCATTGTCAATAAATGGCTTTAATCGGCCTTGTATCTGCTATCACAAGGTCTCTCTGTAAAGACCAGCCTCTTCACCACCTATGAGCTCATTAGACTTCATAATATTAAATTATAATAAAAATATTTTTAAATATATTTTAAAAAATCTATATATATATTTTTTTGTTGTAAATTTCTTTATTATGGGTTTTTCATGTTATAACATGCAATAAGTTAAGATACATTATGAAACTCGCAGGTTTCGTATACTTATGGGTGCTTAGTGTACATTGAGATATGTAAATCTCTGTGTAAGCTTCAATGGTAGGGAGACTCGCAGGTCTCGTGGCAAGATGTGTCATATGATCATATCGTTCAGAAGCGAGATCGTAGGTCCACAATACCGTTGCTTATGATAATTGGCTGTAGGAGTTACCGTTATAGTGGGCAGACTACAGAGGTGTGTATTAATTACCCTCCTAGTTAGGTCTAGAGTTGTGCTTCTTAGTTTGCTATCGTCTTAGTCCCAGTATTTGTCCGTGCGGTCGTGTTTCTCGTGTCATCAGTCTATGGGTGGGCAGAGTTAGTGCTAAAGGTCCTTTCGGTCTTTGTGTGTCCAGATTGGGACTCGTCGTCTTTGGCCCGGATTAGGGTGTTTATGAGTGGTGTATTGCATGGTCCAGCGTTTACTTTATCGTGGGTGCGGTGGTGTGGAAGGGCCCCGTGTCCTTTCATGCGTCTGGTCTTATTCAGTGCTGTCATAGTTTTGTCTCAGAAGGAGGCCAAGGGTAGGACCTGCGGGCCCCAGCCGCCACCGCCCGGGCACCGAGGCAAGTCTAGATAACGGGGGAGAGAAAAAGAAGATGAAGAAGAGAAGGAGGGAGGGGCGGGAGGGGGAGAGTGGGGTGCAGGGGCCCTGGGGGGGGGATGCTTGCGTAGATTATACGTTGGTTGTGTGTGTCTCGGTGGCTCCTATGTCTCTCTCCTCCCCCTGTGTTCGTGTGTGTGTTAGGTACATGTACCAAGGCCTCCATAAGTCGACATGTTTGGTGCTTCTCCCTTGTAGGTCCGCGATCTTTGCTTCCGCTGTGTGGATTTCCTCGACTTTCTGTTGCCATTGTGCAATCGTTGGTGGTTGTGTGCTTTTCCACATCGTTGGAATTAGGGCTTTAGCTGCATTGAGTAGGTGTCTCAGGATTGATCTCTTGTATTGTGCCACGGATTGGTTCGTGAAGTGGAGCAGGGCGGCTTCTATGCTAAGGTCTGGTGTGTCGCTTAGAATCGAGTTTAGTTCTTGTCGGATTTGTTCCCAGTATGGTTGTATTTTAATGCAGTCCCACCATATATGTTGTACTGTACCCGTGTGGGTTTCACATCTCCAGCATGTGTCAGGGGTTCCTGGGAATATCCTGTGTAGCAATGCAGGTGTTCGGTACCAGTGGGATAGTAGTTTAAAATTGGCCTCCTGGTATTTTGAGCTGATCGAGCTCTTATGTTGTAGTATGAGGATCTGTTCCCATTGCGCGTCGCTGTAGGTCCTGCCTGTGAGGTCTTCCCACCGGCCTTTAAATGCTGTATTCCTGACCCGGTCTCCCAGCAGTATTCTTTGGTATATTATGGAGACTCTCCCATCCGCCTCAGGGGTGTTGACGCACAGGTTTTCGAACCATGTTGTGTCCCTGTGTACTGCCTGTCTATTCGGGATGTTATAATAGAAATGCCTGAGTTGTGCGTACCGGAACCTGTGCATGTGTGTGGGGGTCTCGGCCCCGGTCCATTCCTGTATGTTCTTTAGCCCTGCATTATGTAGCGCTTCCTTCAGAGGGAGATATTCATCTCCATTAGTTTCTGGCCAAGCGCTCCTCGGCAGGCCACCACCTAAGGCCCCGTTATGTGTTAGTGGGATCAACGGGCTCGGTTGCGGGGAGATATAGGCTTCCTTTCTCATTATAGCCCATGTTTTCAGTGTTTGTGTGACTGGTGAAGTCCTATTCGTGTTCGGTGGTTCACCCCTGGCTTGGTACCACACCAGTGAGGGTAGGGTACCTTGCATGCTTACCCTGTCCAGGTCTGCCCATCTTTTGTGGTTCGGGGCTGTAAGCCAGTCTCTGATCCTCTGTAGGACCGTAGCCTGGTCGTATTTTCGCACATCGGGCAGTGCTAGTCCGCCCCATGCTTTGGGTAGGCATAGTTTATCGTGGCTGAGCCTCGCCTGGCATCCTTTCCAGACGTAACTGCTTATCGCAGATTTAATTGTCGCGAAGAAATCCGGCGGTATGTGCCACGGTATGGTGTTAAAATAGTACAGGAGTCTTGGCAGAATGTTCATTTTTACTACCGCTATTCGCCCTTGCCAGGAGATGTATTCATGGTTCCATGTCTTCAGATCTCTTTGAAGTTGGTGAAGGAGCGGGGTGTAGTTCCTCGAGTATAGTTCTGATGGTTTGCATGGAATCCATATGCCAAGGTACTTCATCTGGTCTTCGCAGCATGTGAAGGGATAGGTCCGTTTGATCTGGTAAAATATATATATATATATATATATATATATAAAAAGAATATTGCAATATTTTTCAAAATATGAAATCAGTTGAAAAGCTTATCCAGGAATTTTAAATCGAGCACATTCGAGCCTCCATCCTTTCGCTATTGCCACAGTGTAAAATTCTTTAATGTAAGTAAGATTCTAGGACTGTAAGGATCAAGATGTCAATGAATCGCATAATCGAAAAAGTTAATTCTATACTATCTCTGTTTTCATTTAATCTCCAGCTGAATATCTCCTTCCCGGAGTCGGATTTGGAGATCACGTTTGAGTACCCATCTGAGAGTTCACTCATGGCTGAGTTTGGGCCCCCGGATGAATCTGAAGCTGTTGTGCCCCAGCCACAAGCTGAAGACGATGAAGAAGAGGAGAGTGTTTTAATAGGGGGTATCATGAGACGGAAAGCCCTCATTGTGGGTAAGTATAAATAATAGCAATATACCCACAGGATGTCTTTCTAAATTTCTCGGTTTCTCTTCTTCTTTGTCCCCACTCTTTCACATCTACATGACTTGTGAATTTCCTGCCCACACTGTCACATGCCCCATAAGAGACAATCGTCACTGTGAACCATGGATGGGGAGCAAAACTAACATTAGCCCAAAATGCCAACACCTCCTCTTAAGAACATGGTTGACACAGTCTTTTCTGCTTCCAAAGTCAATGAAACGAGTAAAGTTGAGTAGTAACCGCTATGTCCTACTACTCAATCTTGTACTTCTGTCATTTCACAACTAAACTTGTCCTCCACCAGCCACTATGACTACTCCCTGTCATCATCTCCACTCTTCTCACACTTCCCTTTTTCCTTCGACTACTCATTCTGTTCTTTTCCACTTACTTTACTCACACTTAATTTTTCTCCCGCCATCACTCATTACATTCTCTTAATTTATCATTGTAGATGAGTCCTGCAAGCGCTGAAGAAACACCAAAAAGCGTTATGGGTACAGAACACAAGGCACCTGTGCATAAAGCTACCGTCATCAGTCAAGATAGTTATGGTCGAATCCATAACTAATTAAAGCAACATATAACCGTTGCAAAATTGGCAGGTTTACCAATGGACGTATCAATGGCTGCTTGCACAAATGGTTCTTTTCAGAGAAACAGTATCTGGTGGAGATGGTAACAATGTACTCTTGGACCAGAAATGGATTCTAGTAGAACTGGGTAACTTTTCCAACAGGACTTTATCCTGGCACTATGCCCACTAGAGGAACCAGAAATGGGAGTCACTAGACCCTGCTAAGTTTGCCAGTGGAACCAATATTGCTAAAATAAACATGGATTTGGCTTAATATTTGAACTAGCACAACCCATCGATTCACCAGTGGAATTAGTAACAGTGACCTGCTCTTCTAACTAATACAAAAAGCAACTAGTTACTTGTAAAACTAGTCATGGAAATACTGGTAGAGTGTAGCGAGAGAGGAGATTCTTTTTACAAACTGATTTACTTTTAGTGAACTTACAGACACTGCTAGTTAATGACAACTCCCTAGTAATCATTCTTGCCACTATTTAGCTTAGTTAGTTATTAATAAGTCTAGATACTGTTGCCAACCATGGAACTAGTATCATACACGAGATCGTTTTACTTGTGGTCACTACTATAACTAGTTAAAAATAGTTCTAGATGGAGCCAGTTGCTGTTGCTAACCACTAACTTTACGGGAACTCACATTTCCTATACCCTTGTTCTTAAATCCACGATACTGACTCGTAAAAAAACCCACTCTGATTCGTTACAAAGAGTCACTGATCACAGGAAGCAGACCGCTCAAAGTTACCAGTGTGGACAAACTGGTTTTAACTAGTTAAGAGTACTAGTGAGTATTATCCAGTGTTTTTTTATTTTATTTTCTTATTTTTACTTTTGAATATTTTTTGTATTTTTATAAAATAAGTTTTGTTTGTAAAAAAACAAAACAAAACAAAAAACGAACGAACAAAAGAAACAAAGATTAAAAAAAAGCGTGATTTACATTGCAGGAAGCTAATCCCTTGATTGTGATTGGCGGATTTAGAAAAGAATGGGAGTACATACTGCCATATGTTTTTTAATATACATGTATTCCTAACAATTACATTATCAGTATCATTTGGGTATTTGGAGCCCTTGACGAGACAGTTTCTGTATGGGGTCACTGGACATCATAATACCCCCTGCAGAGCAACAGATCTATCAATAATGCACTGCATTCTGCACTTATTTTGTAATATTTTAATATATATGTGTGTGTTTTTATTGTATCTTTTGAGATGGATGTATGGTGGTAAATCACGCTATTAAGAGTGGACTTTAACACCTCTTTACTTAAAAGTGCTGTAAAATATGACAGCGCTGAGTATGACCAGTTGAGATTTCTACATGTCCATTCAAAAAAATATTTTAGATTTCAAAGTTAGTCACCAGCTTGTATATATCAAAAACTGCTCACCACTATTAAGTGCTGCGTGTTTCTGGCCAGTTTATAGCTCCTCTGAATAATTGTAAATCACCGCATGTTTATTGTTGATGTATGTTTAGGTTCCAGTTACCATTATAGCAAACCGCATGCTTGCTAAAAATGCTAAGCATTGTTGTCTATACGTGTACGTATGGTCATACTCTGTACTGTTGTATGCTGCAGCATGTAATGTTTGTATGACTTTGAATTTCTGTGTGTGCCCGTTACTGTTTCAATGTTACTTTACGTATAATTTGGCCAGGGGATAAGTGACATCCGGCATTCCTAATGTCGTAAAATAAAAATGTTGCTGTTCACGGGCAAGTAAAAACTATTATCTGTGGGTGATGGAATTTGCATTTCATAATAACGGTTAGCACATGCATCAGGAAAGGGTTTTATTGAAGGCTGAATAGTATTCTCAATTCACAGGTCGTACTTGTAGTGGTTATGGTGCCCTAAGTCTCTGAGCACCTGCCCCTCGGTTCTTGGTCTATCCATTGGTAGTGTGAATTCCATACATATTGTAACACCATTTATTAGCTAGGCCAGTCAGCTGACCCATTCAGCCAATGATTGGATTAAGTTGGCATTGCAATTAGCCCAACAGTGGAACTTCCTCATTACCAATGCCAGAGCGCATCGGCCGGTCTGCAGATGCCTTAGGCACCCCCAGATTTCGTTATACCGCTCAAATTGTTTGACCAAGAACCGAAGGACAGCAAACCCAAGCTAATGGCACTATAACCACTATACAGACATGTACTATGTGTCTAGACTACTCACTTAAGATATTTGTATTTCGGATGCTTCCAGCCTGCCTGTACTAATGCTCGTTATGCAAATGTTAATTATTCTGTATCAACAGTTTAACATGTTCTGTAACTTATTATAACTCAAAATAAGCAGGCAATTAAGAATTAAAGACACAAGACGCATGAATGGTAATTTGTTCTAAGCACAACTACTCAGTGAAAAAGTTCTTAAAATCAGGTGAACAATTTCAATGATCTATTGGGCAATGCGAGTTACTAACTTGATTATGAAATGCAGGTGATAGACAGTCATCTGCCTTACTCTTTCATTACCTTTGATGGGTACCAGGGATCGGAGGAATGGAGACTGTGCCTATGGACTTGACAGCCAAAAAAGCATTTCATTGTTACTTTGCCAATAAACCAGTATTCATAGCTTTTGTGTGCTTTATTTTCCATGATAGATTCCCTGTTTGTGTTTACATGCACTTGTATATACAGTTTGTAGCTATGTATCATACGTAGTGTGGTTTTGGTGACAAAGTCATTCCTCGAAGTCATCTTCCTAGCTGGTGGTCCTGGGCAAGAGAAAATAGGTGGTCCTCAAACCGAGTGTGGCATATTGAAAGGGGTGTTTGTAGATGAAATAGGGCTAATTACCCAAAACTGATTAATATAATGGCCTGATAGCCCATCATTTGTCTGTCAGACTATGGTGTCTCAATGACATATAGGATCCCTCCCTGGTATATGTATATAGGAGAAAGATAGTCGTATTCATACACAAGATGGTTTGAAAGGGAAAAAACAGAAAAACAGACAAAACATTGGCAGTAGGTTGTAGCCCCACCATTTCACACTTTCTGACCACTTGGGCCACCTCTGCGCACTATAATAACCAGGCCTGTCACTTTCCGCCCCAATAGTAGAAAAAATGGCGAGATCATGAAATGAAGGGACCTTGTGTGTTTCCTGTTACTGCAATATACTTTTCTATAAACCAGAAAGTGAGCCCTATCTTCTGACTTTTCAATTTGCACATTTTGCTCGCAGCTAATGATTTATTCGTGTTACAATGTTAAGCAATAATTTTGGTATTTTTAAAATAAAGAATTACACAATCTATTTGCATTTGGTTATCTATGGGTTATCATTTAATGGGATAAAAATGACATATTTATTCATTTTTTTGGCCCTGCAGCTAAAGCTCTATCTCTGACTTGTGGTTATCCAAGCTCTTTGCCGCTTTTGGGTCCCTGCCTACAGAGAGAACCCATCTGTTTACATTTACTTTTTTTTATTTTTATTTTTTTCTGCAGATAGCTTTCCATTGTGTTAAGAAACACTATTACAATCTTATCTTAGCGTTTCCCTAAATAAAAGCCTGGGTGTATTCCAACAATGTTATTATATAGATATGTAGTCAGAACGTAGATATTCTAAATGAGCTAATCCTGAGACACTTAAAATAATTAAAATATTTATATAAACCTATAAATGCTCCCTAGACCTATAGGTATGTATAACTCAGAATTTGTGTCTTACCAGTACCAGTGGGAATGGGTGTATGACAGAGCTCCACAGCAATAAAACTCGCAGTACGGTGCAGTGTCTATAGTTTTACCACAAAGCTCCACAGCAATAAAACTCGCAGTACTTTGCAGTGTTTACGGTTTTATCAGAAAGATCCACAGCAATAAAACTCGCAGTACGGTGCAGTGTCTATAGTTTTACCACAAAGCTCCACAGCAATAAAACTCACAGTACTTTGCAGTGTTTGTGGTTTTATCAGAAAGCTCCACAGCAATAAAACTCGCAGTACTTTGCAGTGTGTACGGTTTTACCACAAATCTCCACAGCAATAAAACTCACAGTACTTTGCAGTGTTTACGGTTTTATCAGAAAGCTCCACAGCAATAAAACTCACAGTACTGTGCAGTGTGTATAGTTTTAACACAGAGCTCCACTCCACAGCAATAAAATTCACAGTACTTTGCAGTGTGTACGGTTTTACCACAAATCTCCACAGCAATAAAACTCGCAGTACTGTGCAGTGTTTACGGTTTTATCAGAAAGCTCCACAGCAATAAAACTCACAGTACTTTGCAGTGTTTACGGTTTTATCAGAAAGCTCCACAGCAATAAAACTCACAGTACTTTGCAGTGTTTATAGTTTTATCACAGAACTCCACAGCAATAAAACTCACAGTACTTTGCAGTGTTTATAGTTTTATCACAGAGCTCTACAGCAATAAAACTCACGGTTCTGTGCAGTGTCTATAGGTGTCTCACATGGCTCCACAGCAATAAAACTCACAGTTCTATGAAGAGTGTATGGGTCGTGTGTATGAGTATGTCACAGAGCTCCACATCAATAACACTTACAGTGCTATGCAATGTTACAGAGCCACACAGCCATAACACTCATGGCAATGTGCAGTGCTCCACAAAAATAAAACTCATTGAAACATGTTAAGAATGATTTTATGACACAAAAAATCAAACACCTTTAAAAAAAAAACAAACAATTTTTCTTAATCTCTCACCAGTTATAGAAATGTCAATAAATCATTATGTTATGAAACTATGTAAAAATCCTAGAAGAGCCCTACCCTAGATCACACTCCCTAAAACAATCTGTGTCTGTGTAAAATGCTGGCAGGCACACAATGCTATAGGGAGATCGATCGTGGCCAAGTGCAGTTACTACATGAGGAGAAGGAAGGAAAAGTGCCAGTTATGCTCTTAAACTATTATCGGTATTGGATTATAATAAATCACTTCAAACACAAAAGCCGACTCATACCTGAGGATACAGGTCAGGTATGGCTCACTCCGAGAACCCACACATCTCTGAACTCCAGTGTCCAGTCTGAGCATTATGGGACATGCAGTTCAGGAACACCTAAAAAAAAAAGCCAATGGTAGTCAACGCTGAACTAAACCGTTCTGGCAAAATTGCATTAAATGCAGCACAAATGCATCGTCAGAAGCGTGGCGCTCTGCCATCTAAACTCAGCCATTCTATCCATAGGAGAGCACCTCTGTGCACATGGGTGTTGCAGAGTGGGACTGGTGTGCAGCGTTGCAGGTGGGCTGCCCCTCTCTGTATCAACAGTGACACGCGTAGCCGCAATGGCAGAATTCCCTTCCAGTTCTGTTTGACACTCTCAGCCAATGAGCGCGCCCTGCACAGGAGAGCTAATGGAAGCTCTCCATCTGAAACAATGGAGACGGGATCCCGCAAGCCCAGGTACAAAGTCAATTCTGATATGTTGTTATGGGCCTGGAGTGTTCCTTTAATTCGCTAAAATTAATGATGTTTCTTTCACTGTCACTTACTAAAACGTGTAAAGTTTAAATTTTTACACCAGAATGCATTTGTCAGAGCTATTTACTAAACTCTGAATTAATTGTAACAAATTAAAATAGCAAAATTTAGTTAATTGGGAAGACAATTCTGTAAATCGGCAATTATTCCAGCGTGACTATTTTAGCCGCCATTTTGCGGGTCACATCTAGAGTCCCAGAGATCCACCATGTTTTCCTGCACTCGAATCGTCTTATACATATTGAGGAGGGCAAGAAAAGTCCAAATGCAGCAAGAACAGCGACTCATCATTTAATAAGTGACAATTCAGGGTGAATTTTAAATTTAAGGCCAGAAAGCATAACATATTTTCCAGTTTGGCTATTTTGACCTTAAATTGGAAATTAGCTGCACATTCTCCTTGAATTCTCACTTCAGTGAATACCCCTGATCCAGGACCCCTGCAGAGTATGAATGCCTCATACAGAAAGGCAGAACCTTTCATGTAAAGAGATGCTGTCCAGGGGCTCAATGTGGATCTTGCTAAGCTTGACACATCCCATTATCACACACTCAGTGAGAAAACAAATCTTTCCAACTCCCATCACTCCTAGCCCTTCCCACAGACACAGCAGCTGCAGGACAGCCTGGCTGGTCCCTGGGGCTGCGTGACGTCAGTGGAACGCGCCGTGCGTTCCAGAGTGCGGAAGTGCTTCGGGGAAGTTAGCGTGATGTCATCAGTAGGCGACGGCATTGATCAGACCTCACGTTGGAGACCCGCAGGAGACCCAGGGATAAACTGGATCCGGTAAATGACACCGAATGGGCATTCCATACAGCTGGGGGTACACAGGGGGCTGGGCAGGAAGACTTAGCTATCTGTGTCTCCACAGCTTCCCACCTCTAAGGGGCTCTAACATGGACCTCTATTATTATTATTATTATTATCATTATTATTATTATAATATGGAAACAGGGTATTTGTTCAAACTGCTTCCACCAGGCACAGACATGTGTTACTCTTCTCTGTTTGGCCTCCGTAGCCATGCGGGTTTATTTATTAAAATGGGAATTGTCAGTAATTCAGAGTGAATTTCAAATTTAAAGCACATCTCTTCATTTTGGGCGCCTTAAATTTCGTAAAGCCCCCCGAAACTGACAAATCCAGTGAGTGCCCAGTGGCCGCGGGCGGCTGGGTGCAGTGGGAGAGGTTTTAACCCGTTAAGGACACAATTTCTGGAATAAAAGGGAATCTTGACGGAATATTTCAGTCATGTGTCCTTAAGAGGTTAAGTAACTCCTCACCGCCGCCACCATCTCCATAGCGAAAGGTCCTCTGACTCCTCTTCGGCTCCAGGCGCTTCAGCTTCCGCGAGCTAAGTCAGCGGATGCACGAGAGTACAACACTAAGGTCCGTGGAGGATCCTGCAAGACCTAAGCATTCTCCATCGACAGAGACTGACGGCTGCTGGGATTGGTCAAAAACGGACAAAGGAATTCCTTCTTTTATCAACCTCAGGCTTTACCATAAGACAATGATATCTTTGGATTGTGCTGGCATTTCAGTGAAATTCCAACGCAGTCAATTATGAAATGCCGAAAAGTGACAGGTCCTCTTTAAGTTCAAAATAGCTGAAATGGACATAAATTCTAAATCGGTTACACTTCCTATTCAGCTACTGAGGCAAATGTTTGAAATTCACCTTGATTCCTCACTGTAGTAAATGATCCTGTTGATGCCTGGGTCAGTGTTATACTAAATGTTTTTGGAACATTTGGTTTGAAATGTAAGAAATTGGTCAAACTAATATCTGTTTTGACTTTGATTTAAAAAAAATGAATTCTGCTCTGATGTGATTTTTAAATGTTTTTGAACATTTCTTGGTCACATCTGTGTGGATGGTGCTACTGAATCTTCCAGCTCACAGAACAAAAATATACTCCAATTCTGAATACTTCAGTGGATACTATCTACACATTTATATAAGTTTTTAAAATAAACACAAATGTAATGTATTTCATTTTTGTCATAAGCTGCTGTTAAAAGTATCCACTACAGCTTCAATAAATGCAAACAATTTATCCTAAAAATATCCAAATTCTCACGATATTTCATTGAGAAATTGAATGCAAAAATTCACCCACAACTGAAATATTTCCATGTTCAGAGTTTTAGTGCCTACCTTTTCTTTTTTCTCACAAACTTTCCTGTTGTGCTTAAATGGACACTGTAGTAAACAAAACAAATTTAGCTTAATAAAGCAGTTTTTGTGTAAAGATCATGACTCTGAAGTTTCACTGCTCAAATCACTGCCACTTCGGCATTCAATCATGTTTTGTTTCTGTTTATGCAGCCCTAACTACACCTCCCCTGGCTGTGACTGACACAGCCTGCATGAAAACAAAATGGTCTAATTTTCAATCAGATTTAACTTCAGATGTTTTGATCTCCTGCTCTGTAAATTGAACTTTAATTGCATACAGGAGGCTCCTGTAGGGTCTAGCAAGCTATTAACAGTGCAGGAGATAAGAAATGCTAAATTAAACAGGATTTGTGATAAGTGAAGTGTAAATACTAGATGACTCTTTATAGGAAGTGTCTAGGAAGTCACATGCATGGGAAGGTGTGCCTAGGGCTGCATAAACAAAGTGACTTAACTCCTAAATGGTACACAATTGAGCAGTGAGACTGCAGGGACATGTTCTATACACCAAAACTGCTTCATTAAGCTAAAGTTGTTTTAGTGACTATAGTGTCCCTTTAATCTCAATGAGTCTAAATCTGCTGGTAATTTTGGATATGGATTGCAACA